TACATCACCCTTGCCCATCAGAGTTCCCCTTTACATCACCTGTTCCCATCAGAGTGCCCTCATAAATCCCATCCATGTGAACAGCATACCTGAATATGTCCAGTAGGTGGGCAGGAACGTATGGAAGATGTGAAAAAGAAGGAGCTGAAGGGGGTAGGATCTGGCAGAAGGAGGGAGCTGAAGGGGGCCGGACTGGCCTGAGAAACTTGCTACAAGGGGCGGGGTGCACATGTGAAGTCATTGGTTGCTGGGACAACCTTGATCTCAGCAACTGACTGCTGAGCAGCAGATATCCAGCGCTGCGGACTGATGATCTGGACATGAGCGTTGTTTAGTCCTTGTCCGGACCATGGTCCACCATTTATTAAAGGCTGATATGGACAGTATTACCTGGGCACAGGCTAAAAGTATAGGGCATAGGGGCATTTCTGGGGTTTAAACTGACATTACAGGGGGAGAGGGCATTTCCTTGGCACAAGCTCATAGCTGGAATTGAGGTAGAGGGCATTGTCTTGGCACAGGTCGCCAGTATGGAGCTGGAGGACGTTGCTTATGAACAAGCTGCTAGTTCATTGGGTGGAGGGGACTGTATGGTTTCAAAGCTTCCAGTGTAGATGATGGGTATGAGGTGGGCTTTAAAAAAATGATCTAGGAATGGTGATGAGTATAGGAGCTCATGGCAGGTTAGTTGGAGTGACTGGGAGAAGTTTGCCAAGCTTTTAATGTGGACGCAAAATACACTCTATTGCCAAAAGTATTGGGCCCCCCCTCCAAATCATTGGATTCAGGTGTTCCAATCACCTCCATGGCCACAGGTGTATAAAATCATCACCTAGGCATGCAGACTGCTTTCTACAAACATTTGTGAAAGAATGGGTCGCTCTCAGGAGCTCAGTGGATTCAAGCGTGGTCCCGTGATAGGTTGTCACCTGTGCAATAAGTCCATCCGTGACATTTCCTGGCTACTAAATATTCCACAGTTAACTGTTAGGGTCCTTTCACATGGGTGGACCCATTTAGCGGATCTGCTTGCTCAGCAGGGGGATCTATCCGCCGATACCCACTGAGCAAGTGGATGACAGATCTATGTCCGCTTTGCCGCTGCAGAGCGGAAACAGAGCAGCTCGCTCTCCTTAATAGGCAGTTGGGTGAAAATGGACCGCCTGTCCATTTTCATCTGATTTGATGGAAGGGGAATTGGATTCCCATCTGTTCCTTTTCTGCGGGTCAGATCATATTGGATATTGGTAGGTGTAAACGCACACATGTCCGTTTACACCCACTGCTCCATGGAGGAGAATGGAGGTTCCGATCGGGTCCACCTGAAAAAACGGGCATGCGGACCCCATCGGAACGTCCATGTGAAAGAGGCCTTAGTGGTATTACAACAAAGTGGAAGCAATTGGGAACAACATCAACTCAGCTACCAAGTGGTAGGCCACGAAAAATGACAGAGCGGGGTCACTGCATGCTGAAGTGGACAGTGTGTAGAAGTTGCCAACTCTGCAGAGTCAATAGCTAAAGACCCCCAAATTTCGTGTGGCCTTCAGATTAGCACAACAACAGAGCATAGAGAGCTTCATGGAATGGGTTTCCATGGCCGAGCAGCTGCATCCAAGCCTTACATCACCAACTGTAATGCAAAGCGTTGGATGCAGTGGTGTAAAGCACACCGCCACTAGACTCTAGAGCAGTGGAGACGTGTTCTCTGGAGTGACCAATCACGCTCCTCTGTCTGGCAATCTGATGGACGTGTCTGGGTTTTACGGTTGCCAGGAGCACAGTACTTGCCCGACTGCATTGTGCCAAGTGCAAAGTTTGGTGGAGGGGGGATTATGATGTGGGGTTGTTTTTCAGGGGTTGACTTGGCCCCTTAGTTCCAGTGAAGGGAACTCTTAAGGTGTCAGCATACCAAGACATTTTGGACAATTTTATACTCCCAACTTTGTGGGAAGAGTTTGGGGATGGCCCCTTCCTGTTCCAACATGACTGCGCACCAGTGCACAAAGCAAGGTCCATAAAGCCATGGATGAGCGAGTTTGGGGTGGAGGAATTTGACTGGCCTGCACAGAGTCCTGACCTCAACCCGATAGAACACCTTTGGGATGAATTAGAGTGGAGACTGTGAGCCAGGCCTCCTCCCCCGACATCAGTGCCTGACCTCACAAATGCTCTTCTGGAAGAATGGTCAAACCTTCCCATAGACACCCTCCTAAACCTTGTGGATGGCCTTCCCAGAAGAGTTGAAGCTGTTATAGCTGCAAAGGTCGGGGCCAACTCAATATTGAACCCTACGGACTAAGACTGGGATGCCAATTAAAGGTCGTGTGTGTAAAGGCCGGCCGACCAATACTTTTGGCAATATAGTGCATCTCAGACTTCCTGAGCAGGAGATAAGGTTTAGTTGTATTTTCCTGCCTGAATACCAGAAACTGCTGTTGACCATAATGCTGTGTGCACAGACTACAATAATAGGGAATGGTAGACTTGTGTGGGTTGTGCAGCCTACATGGACAGACTATAGCTATACTATGTAATAATGTGTCTGGAGCATTGCATGGTCTCCTTCATTCTTTAACAGTTTAAATTCTTTCTTCTATTTTTATCTGCTTTGTGGTGAGCACAGATAACTAGCTGGTCACCTCCCCCGCATGAGTTAATTCTTTTGACTTAATGCTTGATTAAAAACAAAACCTGAAAATCTCTGTATCTATACCTACATTGTGATTTGCTTGTTTTGTGATTTATTATATTATATTGAAGAATTTGTCACCTATATTTTCACAATATAACAATGTAACAAGCAGGTTCTAAAAGTTGTACAACAAATACTCTCTAATGTCTGTGGTTGGGTTAAATTGTAACGCCAATTTCATGGAAAAAATATAGCAAATTAAAAAACAATAATATAGCATGTACTATTGTGTCACAAGCCATATTGTAATTTAATGTTCTCAAAATTGAAGCACGGGGATCCTAAAAGAGAACATACAGCTCTACAACATATAATGGCATAGGTCAGTGTTTCTCAACTTTTTTTCCGTCGTGTACCCTCTAAAAAAAAAAAATGCAAAATCTTGAGGAACCCCAGTCCAAAATGTAAAAAAAAAATGCTAATGTTACTTCTCATTGGGAAACCTTAGTCTGGGATGATGCACACAACCACCTTGATGAAATTAACATAAGCATCCCCCCTTCATGTCAGAAGTCCTCATCACCACAGGGTCACTCATTAAATCAGAGTCCGCCAACAGAGAGCCGTCCATCACTTAGTCCCCTCTTTACATCAGAGTTCTACTTTTTGGCTGTAGAAGTGAGGCAGAGGGCAGGAGGTGGAGCCACTCTGGAGGAGGCTGAATTCCATCCTCTCCTGAATGCTGGGGTTGACCCTACATCATAGGAACGAATGACACTGTGGGGTTGATTTTAGTGGTGCACTGAAATGAAAATTCTGGTGCTGAAAACGAAAATTCAAAATGCACTTCGCCGAAAACCGAAATGTGCTGTTTTTAAAAATCAATATTTTTTTTTTGAAAAAAATACCCTTTGATTAAAAAAAACAAAAAATAACAATATACCAATTTTTTTGTAAAATATGAAAGAGGATGTTATGGCAAGTAGATAGATACCCAGCATGTCACGCTTTAAAATTGCGCACGCTTGTGGAATGGCGTGAAACTGCGGTACTCCAAAATCTCCATGGGTGATGCTTTAAAAATTTCTACAGGTTAGCAGTGTAAAGTTACAGAGGAGGTCTGGTGCGAGAATTATTGCCCTGATTGTGGTGATACCTCACGTGTGTAGTTTGAACACCATTTACATATGTGGGCATGGCCTACGTATGCGTTCACCACTATGTGCGAGCACGGGGGAACTTTTAAATTATTTATTTATTTATTTATTTATTTATGTATGTATTTAAATAATTAATCAATTAATTAATGGTTTGGGTTTTTTTTTTTTTTTTCACTGTTCCTTTAAAATTTTTTTAATAATTTTTTTTATTCTTATCACAAGAAATGCATGCATCCCTTGTGATAGAAATAATTAGTGACAGGTCCTCTTTATAGAGAGATATGGGGTCAATAAGACCCCACATCTCTCCTCTGCAATGTAGAGCATTGGATCAAAAAAAAAGCATTGATATAGTGCTTTAGAAAAAAAAAATTGGCCTGAACCAGAAGTGACATCTCTCCGGTCCTCCAAGGGCATAGAGATGAGTGGAGGCCATGTTTCTTTCAACCATCTCTATGCCCAATGCCGGGATCGTTCAATGGTTTCTCAGGTAAGACTGAAAACTGCCAGGCGGTTGGTTGCGAGGCTCGGGGTTTTTTTCTACACCTGTATCGATGCTTTCTTTTATTTTGGCCGACGGCTGAAACGTTTCGGCCACCGAAATTTCCGTGCATCCCTAGTTGACTTACTAAAACTGGAGAGTGCAACATCTGGTGGAGCTCTGCATAGAAAGCAATCAGCTTCCAGGTTTTATTGTCAAAGCTTAAAGTATAAGTTAACCTTGTGGACAAAAAATATAAATGCACATTTTTTTGAAGATAAAAGTGCATTTATTATTTTTGTCTGCAGAAGCCTGGAAAATATTACACCAGCGATCAGTAGACCGCTGATGCCATGCAGGTCTCCTGCAGACCTGTTAGAATATCTGCTTGCCGTGCAAAATATATACGGTCAAGCAGATATTCTGACAGGAAGCTTCAATGAACTACCACAGCACTCCACAGTGCCATGGTAGTTCACTGAAAACTAAAAGCCCACAGCCACTAAGGCTGTCAGGAATTGCAGTTCATTCACGGAACAGTGTTGTGGCAACAGTTTGAGGACGGCTCTTTTCTGCTCCTGTCTTACTGTGCAACTGAGTAAAATGCCAACTCCATAAAGGCAAGGCTTTTTTTAATCAATTCTTTATTTAAAGAGTCACATTAGGATTTAACATAAAGTCGCTTTCACATTGCAATCGGGGTATATAAAACAACAGTCATGGGTGTACACAAAGTACGTTTTCGCTCCATAAGATGCACATAGGTTTTAGAGGAAGAAAACAAGAAAAAAAATATTCTGAACCAATGGACTGCAGACATAGTACAGGAATTGACCAGAGACTGCAGACAGTACAGGAGATGACCAGAGACTGCGGACACAGTACAAGGGATGACCAGAGACCGCGGACACAGTACAGGAGATGACCAGAGACTGCGGCCATAGTACAGGACATGACGAGAGACCACGGCCATAGTACAGGACATGAGCAGAGACCGCGGCCATAGTACAGGACATGACCAGAGACCGCGGCCATAGTACAGGACATGACCAGAGGCCACGGTACAGGACATGACCAGAGACCGCGGCCACGGTACAGGACATGACCAGAGACCGCGGCCACGGTACAGGACATGACCAGAGACCGCGGCCACGGTACAGGACATGACCAGAGACCGCGGCCACGGTACAGGACATGACCAGAGACCGCGGCCACGGTACAGGACATGACCAGAGACCGCGGCCACGGTACAGGACATGACCAGAGACCGCGGCCACGGTACAGGACATGACCAGAGACCGCGGCCACGGTACAGGACATGACCAGAGACCGCGGCCACGGTACAGGACATGACCAGAGACCGCGGCCACGGTACAGGACATGACCAGAGACCGCGGCCACGGTACAGGACATGACCAGAGACCGCGGCCACGGTACAGGACATGACCAGAGACCGCGGCCACGGTACAGGACATGACCAGAGACCGCGGCCACGGTACAGGACATGACCAGAGACTGCAGATCTTTGGGGAGCGGGAGAGCAGGTACCCAAATTTGACAGGTACCCGCTCCCACTTCCGCTGTGATCGGAAGCAGAAGTTGTTCTCCCTTCCACCCTCCCATCCCTGTAGTCTTCTGGGACACGTAATAGGTCCCAGAAGACTATAGGGCCATTCACAAAGCGCAATGCCTCTTGCGCATGCTCAGTGAAGCCGCAAGCCGGGTGCCCATGCTAAAGATACCAGCGCCAGGGAGAGAAGACGGACGGTGAAACCAGCGGTGGTGAGGACACTGCTGGACCAAGGAACATTAAAGTGGCTGTGTTTTAAAAGTCAGCAGCTACAGTTTTTTGTATTTTGTATTTTCAGCTGGAACTCCGCTTTAAGGGGCAGCTGCTTTGGGCCCTGCCTGGCGCTGCTGCATTGCTGACTCGGACTCCTCCTCTCTTCTGCCATAGAAGAGCCGAGCGGCTGGCCTGGTATTCTAACGCGCAGGGGAGGAGTCCTGGTCAATTTTCGCTCCATAAGCCGCACAGACATTTCCCTATTTTGTGGGGGGAAAATAATGCCTCTTATGGAGCGAAAAATACGGTAATACCCAACAATACTTGTGCTGAACATTAAATACCTCTTCATTTTAGGGTAAAATCTCAAAAGCATAGACAAGTCAAGACCAATTATCACCAATATTTTGTTTATATTTCATAAGTCTATGACTAGAACTATATCAAAATCTGACCTCAAAATTAACAGTGGTCAAAAGGCAGTTTTATTGTTTGTTTATGAAACTTGTTTTTTTTTTGTTCTTTTTTTTTATAAAGATGTTGATATTTGTTTTCACTATCAACAGATCAAGTCCTTATATCCAGGTAATATGTGCAATGGCATTGCAGCCAATAGAGTTTACATTTTTTGTTTTTTTTTTAATATTTTAAAGTTGCACTTCTGTTTGTTTAAAAAGCAATATTTTTGTTTGTTTTTGATACTGGAGATTTTAGTCAAATACGAATAAAACTAAAAGAATTTAGGTGACTAAAATATGACAAAAACAAAAAATTTGACGTAAAAATGAACACTGTATGGGGTAAAAGGTTTATGGTGTGAGTAAAGAGGGAAAAAAAAAAAAAGGGTGGGATGGGGAAGGTAAAGAAGTGAAGTCAGAGAGAGTGTCCAGGGGTAGGAAAGAACTTGAATGGCCTGATCTCAACTCTACTGAACACTTTTGGGATGACTTGGAACATTGATTCTAACTTATTGCCCAACATCAATACCTGAATAAGCACAAATTCCCATGTGCATTCCAAAATCTTGCGGAAAGCTATTTCTGGGAAGGGAGGGTGAGCGGGTACCATATTAAAATGGTAATAAATTGCCCCCCCCCACAAAAAAAAGCAAAATAATGGGCCCCCTGCAGGTGTAGGTTATACTGTACTAGTATGCACCTCATAATTACCTGTACACAGAGCCCTCCAGCACCACACTGTCACAGCTCCCTGGTGCCACCATCTTCACCTGGTCTTCCTTTCTGGGTTTGTGGGTACCGGCAGCATGAATGCCTGAAGTCGTGATGACGTCACTCCCGTGCATGTGGCACGGAGCTCTGAAGGTCTGGCACAGTGTGCCTTCCCTTCAGTGCGCATACGCTGGTGACATCACCGGCTGCATTCTGTGTGAATATCTCCCAACTTACAAAGTGGACTTTGCTTCCACTTTAAGGCTCCGTTCACACCAATGCATTTTTTAGTGCTTTTTGCAGAATCGTACTACAGTCCATTTAACATGGTTTCCTATTGCATTGCGTAGTACTACTATGCTTGTTATACATGTTGGATATAGTGATTTATTCAGTTTTCATATTCGCATGAACCCAGCTCAAAGGGACTTGCAATATATCCAGAAAAATTTTTCTTTGTTTCTTCTAACACATTTTTCAAAAACCAGCAGTTTGACAGTAACGTCATGCCAAAGTCAAGTCACTACATGTCAGGTTTAAACCGACCTTTTCTCAAGTAGGAGCTTTTTAATTCCTGCCTGTCAAAGGGTCAGTTTTGACCTGAAATGTAACTAGTTGCTATGAAGTGATCTTCAGTACAGTGTGCTGGGTTAAAAATAAAGAACATTTTATCAAAGTCCTCTGTGCCAGTCTTTCTGGCATGGTAAACACTATTGTGTCAAGTATGGCAAATTGTTGCATGTCATTCCTTTGTGGAATGGCATGCGGGTTGTTCCTTCTCTGTAGAATTTTGTTGTGTATGTTATTTATAAAGTGACACAGTACTACGTAATGGCTGTATGCTGGATGTAATTTTCCGTGTGTTTTTTACTGTATGTATAGTTGCTGTACTTTAGTATGAATCGTGTCTTTTATGCAGCAAGCAGATCTGATGGGTGTGAAAGGGGCCTTATAGTGGTTAGGGGATTGTTACCCTTACAATCAGCTAGAAAGATGACTGATGTCATGGTCTTGGCCTTGTCATTTGGCATTGGATTTGGAACAATGGAGGCACTGTTAAATGGGAGTTCAATCCACCTTGGCTCAAGGAACCCCTAGCAACACCTCTGAGGGAACCCTATCCGAGAGTGGCTGGCCTAGCACTTTGGTTCCTTGGTGGTGGGTCTTATTCTCAGAATCTGTTCATATCTCTGTGGATGCTATACTGTAGCACATTTCCCATCCTGTATGTTGGGTGTCATTCTCAGTATTTGTTGTGTTTCATTATAAAGTGATTCTGCATATAAGCAGTCTTCAGCTTAAAAAGTTCCTCATACTTTTTTTTTTTTTTTTTTTTTTTTTTTTTTTAGCTTTAATAGGGTAAAGGCATGAATAACTAGGCCTTCTTGTTGGCCACACCAAGAAGATGCTGTAGCCGGTGGTGTGTTGATCATTACATCACATGTAATGTCCCTGAAAATGATATTGGAATGTTGTCCACTATGGGGATGCAGTAAAGTTACATTTCTGATGCTAATTTTCATATAATCCACAGGTCCCTTGTTTTGTTGGAACAGACCCGTGTTTCTCAATAGCAATCTGTCAGACCTTCCTTACCTGCTTATACCTCACTGCAATTTGTAAGGAAGAATATGGTTGCTCTGAGCGACTCTATGGTAGAACTCTTCCACTGGGCACACTAACTGATGCTCCATATGCTGTGAATGATGCATCTCTACTGCAGGCCTCGAAAAACCTTTTAGCCAATTTTAGTTCACACAGATGGATGTTATTTTAATTTATTTCTTTGGTTTACAGCGTAATGATCTCCTCCTATGCCTAGGTTTAGACTTGTTTGAAAATGCTGCACCTCTGAAAGCGTTCTGTGTAGTGGTGCACCAAAATGATAATTCTGGTGCCAAAACCAAAAATTCAAAATGCACTTGGCTGAAAACCAAAATGCGCAGTTTTTAAAAATGAATATATATTTTTTGCGAAAAAAATACACTTTGATTAAAAAAAAAACAAAAAAAACACTATACACCCCAATTGTTTTTTAAATATATGAAAGAGGATGTTACGGCGAGTAAATAGATACCCAACATGTCACGCTTTAAAATTGCGCACACTCATGGAATGGCGTGAAACTGCGGTACTTAAAAATCTCCATGGGTGATGATTTAAGAAATTCTACAGGTTAGCAGTGTAAAGTTACAGAGGAGATCTAATGCAAGAGTTATTGCTCTTGCTCTGACAATTCCTCACGTGTGTGGTTTGAACACCATTTACATATGTGGGCGTGGCCTACGTATGCGGTCACCACTACGTGCGAGTACGGGGGGATGGGGGCACTTTAAACGTTTTTTATTTATTTATTTTTTTTCTTGCACTGTCTTTTTTTTTTTTTTTTTTATTCTTATGACAAGAAATGCATGCATCTCTTGTGATAGAAATAATTAGTGACAGGTTCTCTTTATGGATAAGACAATAAGACCCCACATCTCTCCTCTGCAATGTAAAGTATTGGATCAAAAAAAAGCATTGACCTACGGCTTTAAAAAAAAAAAAAAAAATGGCCTGAACCGGAAGTGTCATCGCTCCGGTCCTCCAAGGGCAACTTTCCTTTACTCATCTCTATGCCAAACGCTGGGATCGTTCGATGGTTTCTCAGGTTTCTGAGAACTACCGAGCAGCGGCGGGCGGGCGGCGGCAAGGGGCTGGGTTTTTTGGCACCTGTATCGGTGCTTTTTTTAAATTTCGGCCGATGACCAAAAGGGGTATTTTCGGCCACATACCGTATATACTCGAGTATAAGCCGAGTTTTTCAGCACATTTTTTGTGCTGAAAAACGGCCCCCTCGGCTTATACTCGAGTCAACGTCTGCAGATGAAATGCCGTCCCTGTCATCTGGACACACCCCCGGGATCAATCCTCGCCGGTGATTGGCCGCCGCAACTGTAGCTCAGGAGAGGCACACAGGCGCCCAATCACCGGCGAGGAGGTGGAGCTTGGAGAGGAGGAGCCGAGCGGCACCGCGAAGATCGAGCGAGTAAAGAGGAGGAGAGCGGCCGGAGAAGGAAGACATCTGACCGGTAAGTGTGTACCATGGGAGAGGGAGGGAGCGAGCGAGCCCAGGCTGGAGCAGGGTCACCAATGATGGGGCACTATTCCTCCCCCCACTGACACCAATGATGGGGCACTATTCCTGCCCCCACTGACACCAACGATGGGGCACTATTCCTCCCACACTGACACCAATGATGGGGCACTATTCCTTCCCCCACTGACACCAACGATGGGGCAGTATTCCTCCCCCCCACTAACACCAACGATGGGGCACTATTCCTCCCCCCACTGACACCAACGATGGGGCACTATTCCTCCCCCCTCGGCTTATACTCGAGTCAATAGTTTTTCCCAGTTTTTTGTGGTAAAATTAGGTACCTCGGCTTATAT